AAAAAAAAAAAAAACTGCTAACCCCATTAAAGCAGTCTTAAACGACCAAACCCCTCTACAATAGACTTGATATGATTCTGACACTGGTGTATACTGTCCTTCTTGTGGCATGTTTTGGACTTCATCCATCCTCTGGTATGTATAAGACAAAAGACCACGACGTTTCGGAGACTGGATCTGCCTCCGTCTTCAGGTGGGTAGGGAAGGATAAGCCTATTCAGTTTGGCCTGACAAACCCCAGTCTGTAGAAAAACAACCTATGAACACCGGACAACCAGTTCCATCAGTGGGAGATAACCATAAAATCACAGTAAAAGACATGATAGAAAATTTGTGCCAAGCATGCATATGTCAACAATGTAAAAAACAGAAGTATAGATTAAATTCCAGGAATTCAGTTAAAAACGAAAGTACAATGNAAGTCTTGTGATACATGTTATTTAAAATTAAATAAGCTGTACTATAGTGATACATGTTATTTAAAATTAAATAAGCTGTACTATAGTTAAAAATTGCAGCAGTTTATGTGAAGGTGTTATGTATGGATGTATACACACAGACTTTTGTGCAGCTGTTAGTATGAAATGAAGGTTCTGGGGCCCATGATCGTACAGATTTCTTGATTGCTTTTGTCTAAGGAATGCCACCTCTTAACGCCATTTTTCTTTAATTGAGCTTGGTTTTTTACAAGAACTTCATCGTCTGGTACGTAAAAGACAAAAGACCATGACATTTCGGAGACTGGATCTGTCTCCATCTTCAGGCAGGTAGGGAAGGATAAACTTATTTATTTGGGCCCATTAGATAAGCTAGTGTCAATTATTGGACAAATCCCGGTGTCTAGAAACCAATCCATGAACCCCCGACAACCGGTTTCATCAGTGGGAGGTAAGAATAAAATCACAGTAAAAGACATGATAGAAAATTTGTGCCAAGCATGCATATGTCAACAATGTAAAAAACAGAAGTATTGATTAAATTCCAGGAATTCAGTTCAAAATGAAAGTAATAACTTGGATAATGCCTGCCTAATCTGTGTGAATAAAGAATTGTGACACTAGGGCAACTTCCAGGAATCAGACTAATCCCCGGAGCAAAACTTGCATAAGTAGTGGAAGCCACTAATATTCATAAAAACTTACATTTTTGATTTGTTAACCTCTTCATTGAGGAGGGGAATTCATATGGGAGAAATATCCAAACTGGGTTGACTGATCGGATTGGCTGAACATGCCATATGAGCTGATTCTTTGTACTTTCTGTATCTGCTGTTACTTTCAACCTCCAAGATCCTAGCTTCGTCCCAGCTTACCCTTTGACCTTCTTCATATGAATGCTGAGCCAACCTGGATTTCTCTAGAAGACCCTGCTTGAGATTTTGCCTGTGTTCACGGATTCGCATAGCCAGCGGTCTGCCTGTTTCACCAATGTACCGTGAACACAGGCAAAATCTCAACCAGGGTCTTCTAGAGAAATCCAGGTTGGCTCAGCATGCATAAGAAGGTCACAGGATAAGCTGGGATGAAGCTAGGATCTTGAAGGCTGAAAGTAACAGCAGATACAGAACGTACAAAGAATCAGCTCATATGGCATGTTCAATCCAATCAGCCAAACAAGTTCGGGTATTTCTCCCATATGGACTCCCCTCATCAATAAAGAGGTTAACAAATCAAAAATGTAAGTTTTTATGAATATCAGTGGCTTCCACTACTTCTGCAAGTTTTGCTCCGGGGATTAGTCTGATTCCTGGAAGTTGCCCTAGTGTCACAATTCTTTATTCACACAGATTAGGCAGGCATTATCCAAGTTATTACTTTCATTTTGAACTGAATTCCTGGAATTTAATCAATACTTCTGTTTTTTACATTGTTGACATATGCATGCTTGGCACAAATTTTCTATCATGTCTTTTACTGTGATTTTATTCTTACCTCCCACTGATGAAACCGGTTGTCGGGGGTTCATGGATTGGTTTCTAGACACCGGGATTTGTCCAATAATTGACACTAGCTTATCTAATGGGCCCAAATAAATAAGTTTATCCTTCCCTACCTGCCTGAAGATGGAGACAGATCCAGTCTCCGAAATGTCATGGTCTTTTGTCTTTTACGTACCAGACGATGAAGTTCTTGTAAAAAACCAAGCTCAATTAAAGAAAAATGGCGTTAAGAGGTGGCATTCCTTAGACAAAAGCAATCAAGAAATCTGTACGATCATGGGCCCCAGAACCTTCATTTCATACTAACAGCTGCACAAAAGTCTGTGTGTATACATCCATACATAACACCTTCACATAAACTGCTGCAATTTTTAACTATAGTACAGCTTATTTAATTTTAAATAACATGTATCACTATAGTACAGCTTATTTAATTTTAAATAACATGTATCACAAGACTTACCATCTGAATCAGCTTGGAGAAATAGAAACCAGATAGATAACACACATTATGTGCAATCAGTCCCTTAGACCACAAGTATACATATGGGTTTTGGAATAGGGTCCAAATAAGCTGCAAGAAATGTCATAAATAAACATATGAATGATTCCAAATATGAGGGTTATACTGAAAGTCATGAGCAACAATTTCTTGCAAAGTAACGTGCTTTATTATTGACAAACCAAATACACTATCTCAATCTACAGACCTTTCTTTATTTCTTCACATAATCGCCACTTCTTTGTACACATTTCTCCCAGCGTTCTGGGAGTTTGAAAATTCCCCTCCTGTAAAATTCCGTTCCAGCCATCTGAAGACACTGACGCACTGCTTTCTGAATTTACTCCCTTGTCTCAAAACGTTGTCCACGCAGCTGATCCTTCACACATCTGAAAAGATGGTAGTCGATGGGTGCCAGATCAGGGCTATAGGAGAGGTGTGGAAGAACTTCCCACCACATCTTTGCAATTGCTTCCAATGTGAGGTGAGCGGCGTGGGGGCGAGCGTTGTCATGCAGGATGATGATGTTTTGTCCCAGACATTTATCGCGCAATGCATGACGGAGCTTTTGCAGCATCTCGACATAAGAAGCAGCATTAATGGTTTGCCCAGATTCCAGGAATTCGGCCAGAATAAACCCCTCTGCAGCCCAGAAGACTGTGCCCATCACCTTCGCAGCTGATGGCACTGTCTTTGCCTTCTTTTTTAATGGAGAATACAAACGGTGCCATTCCATACTCTGCCGTTCTGTTTCGTTTCAGGCTCGAAATGGTGAAACCAGCTTTCGTCACCTGTCACAAATCAGAGCAAAAAATCATCGCTTTCGTGTCGATATCTCTGCAGCAGTTCTGAGGTGATGGCTTTTCGCTGACCTTTGTGGTCTTCGGTCAATAACCGCGGGACCCAACGAGCACAAACTTTCCTATAGCCCAAGCTTTCAATCATCTCCTGTACTGCACTGTGCCCTATTCCAAGTTTTCGGGCTATTGTGTCCACAGTCACACGCCTGCCATCTTGAATGATCTCATCCACTCTTTCCTTGTTGTGTTCAGTTGAGGCTGTTCGAGGACAACTGCTCCGAGGCTCATCTTCGATTCTGGTGTTCCCATCTTCAAACACTGCTCGCACCCATGCACACAGTTCCATAAGCACGCTGAAGTCTCTGGTGAATTTCTGCAGCATGGATTTCCTCTTTCACAAGAAATTCAATGACAGCACACTGGCAAAACGACATATCATTGTCAGCCATTTTGTTAGGAGTGATACTGGTCACGTGATGCAAGCTACTGATGTCACAAGACACTCAGGGTTAACACAACAGCTGGTTCCACCTACCACTATACTCTCTTTCGTCTGCTGTTCCCAGGTTGCATGCAAAAAAAAAGTTGCTCATGACTTTCGGTATGACGTACGTATATCTTACCTCTTAATAGAAGTTTTCAAACATCAACATTTTAACCCTTTCGCACTCAGCCTATTTTCCGAATACCTGGCCTAAAACACTAAGGCAAATTTGGCTCTATTTACATGTCTCACTTCAAATCATCATCATCATCAGTAATCTGTCAAGACGACAGGTCCACAGTCTCTTTCAAAACAATTCCTCCACTTAATGCGATCTAGAGCTTTCTCCTTCACATGACAGTATCCTCTTCTGTCCCCAAGGTCATCCAGCATCTTCTTACGTCTTCTTCCTCGTCTTCTTGTCACTTCTATCCGCCCATCTATCTTTCCTTCGATAGCTTCTTTTAGAAGGCAGTTTCTGCGTAAAACATGACCAATCCAATTAGCCTTCCGTTTTCTTATTTCATGTAGGATATTCCTCTGCTCACTGACTCTAATTAACACTTCTTCATTTCTCACATAATCGGTCCAACTGATCTTCTCCATTCTTCTCCAACACCACATTTCGAAACTTTCCAGATGTTTCTGATCTACTGCCCTAAGTGTCCATGTTTCAGCCCCATACAGAGCTATGCTCCAAATGTAGCATTTCACTAGTTTCTTCCTCAAATTTAAGTCCAATTTGCTGGTAAAAAGATTCTTCTTCTTGCTAAATGCAGCTTTTGCCATGGCAATCCTGGATTTAATTTCACAAGTACACCTTCCATCATCTGTTAACAAGCTACCCAAATATTTAAAACATTTCACATTCTCCACTTGTTTTTGGTCTATCTTTATTGTGACTGGGGTTGGTTGTCTCGAAATTTTCATTACTTTTGTTTTCTCCACATTCATTTCCATGCCATGCTTTCAAATATTCGCCAAAAATACAATTTTGGTCAAAGACATATGAAAAAATCACACTTATTCATTTTAAACAGAATACTTAAAAATAGCCTACTACTGCTAATACTATAAATAATTTGAAAAAAAAAAAATAAAAACTGAAAGAATTACATATAGAAATTTAAAATTTACAAATTTAGGCAAAAAATAAAATTGAAGAAAGTCGTCTTCTGGGTTTAGGCACCGTGTATTCTTCGTTTTGGCCTAAACCTTGGCCTTGGCATAAACCCAGAAGACGACTTTCTTCAGTCATCGGCGTGAAAACCTCAAAACTTACAAAAAATAAAATTGTTTTTTTTTGGTCTTTTTTTCTTGTCACCAAGCCTGCACGAAAGAGAATATTTTTCTGTAAATTTTGATATAAGTTTGAAGCATGAAGAGGTCTCTCATCCAGAACTACACCACATTATGCAAAACAGTGCATACACATCTTTTGCAGTTAGTACCTGTATTTTGGGAAGCACTGTCCATGCAGCCCCTTGTTGCATCTGGTGCATACTGGTCTGGCTCTCTGCCTCCTCTCCTCTGTGCAGCAGACAATGCACTGGGACTCATTCTTTTCAGGGAGTTTTCTGAGTCCTTGTGCTTCCAGAGGATCATCTGCCCAGCATTGTCCTTCAACACCAACCACTCATCCCTCAAGCTCTTGATTATGGGACATAGTGTAGCTGTATCTGGATTTCAGTTTGCTAGGCTCTCTGTAGTTTTCCTTGTTAAGAATGTAGTAGCTATTCAACACCATCCTGGCTATGATGTTGAAAGCTACCTTTTTCCAATAACACACTGTCTGCCTTCCATCCAAATATGCGTACAGCATCATGTCTGAAGAGTCAATGCCACCTATAAACTTGTTGTAGGATGTGATGATTCTTTGTTTGGTTTGTGGATTGCCACCATGTCTTCCCCCTATTTCCTCTTCTTGGGCTGTGGCATGGCTGGAGAGAAAAATGACAGATTTTTTTTTTTTTTTTGCAATTTCTTCTTGCAGAAAACCCATGTGAGAAGGGGACAAAACTTTCAACACATTTTTTGTCCAACTGCAAATTTGTTCTTGAACTGCTGGGGTAGAAGTTTCCTATTCCTCCCAACAGTTCCAGTGATGTAGGTGCTTAGCTGATGGAGATGGCGGGCAAGTGGAACAGACATAAAATAGCCATCGATGAAGACATGGTAGCTTTGTTGAGGTACCCTCCAACATTAAGCAGTTTTTCATGATCATGTACCCAGGCAATTTTTTTGGATGTTGTCATAGTCTTCCTGAGACCTGGCCCCTCTGTACATGAAAAACCCCAGTCAAGAGTTGGACAGAGTCACACAGCATCCAAAATTTAATTCCCAACAGTGGTGGTGCTTGTTGGGCAAACACTGCAAGAGACTGGTTTTGTTTTTAGTATCTACCAAGCTTTCAAGCTAATTTCTTGATGAGGGATGTAGTGATGCCTGAATATCCTGTCTGCATGGTCCACAAGGGGATGGTACCATGCACAGGGATAATAGTCTGGTTCTCCAGGACCTGGAAATCCTCTGTTGTTGACGAGGTGGAAGAAGTGCTTTAAGCGGGAAAAGCGATGCTTGGTAAACATTTTCCCAAACCATGGGGTGGCTTGGGAACAGAGAGTGGACCAGGATGATCCTATGGTTGGTTTTTTGATGATCATATTTAGAATACAGGCCAGGAATCCTTTCATCTTGTGCATGGTAATTCTGGTCCTGTTCTTCATCAGAGTGAGAACATTACCTGCCTTACTGCTAACCACTTGCTAGGCATATTTGTTGGATTCTGTCACCATGAGGGTAGGGATCATGTCTGTGAAGAAGAGATGAAATAAACAATAGGAGAATCAGGAGGAAGCATATGCTTAGGTCCAGAGAGTTCTTGGAATTGGAAAGGAAGAGGGAGAGGTTGCACAGTTGACAGAATTTCCTGTTGTAATACTATAGTTCTAGTGTTGGCCATATTTATTTGGTGATATTTATTGTTTATAAGTTGGTACCACACCCACTGCTACTTTCTTCCTGTGTGTACCTTTGGTATCTTGTAATGTTCATTCAGTCTCCAGTAAACGTTAGATTTGGACGAAGGCGTTTCATTTCTTATCCGTTTTTACCTCGATGATCCAATGTGATTTCACAAAGGAAACAACAGGTTATGGGCCCAGAGTCTTCAAGCACTGCGCCGGACATCGATAAAACGGATTGGAGACTCAGAAGACGAGTGAAGACAATAGGATAAGTGAAGGTACGGACCTAAACGGCAAAGACGGCCATTTCTCGGTCCCACATGGTGCATGGGATTTTGAAGAAAGGAAGTAAATAAGACGATATAAGAAGACGATTTAATATTTCAAGATGTCAGAAGAAGTTTACCGAAGACGCATAGAACCTTTAAATGACGATAACTACACAATCTGGAAACATCGCGTAACGCTAACCCTAAGAAAGAGGAAGCAATGGGAAGCCGTGGAGCCCGGATATGATGGAGTAGAAGAGGATTGGACACCAGGTCAGATTCAAACAAATCTTGAAGCACTTAACTTTATTACCGAGAATATAGAAGATAAATATGTACCGTCGATAGCACATCTGACTACAGCTGCAGAAGTTTGGCAGAAGCTGAAAAGGCGAAACTGTGAGTACACATGGGTCCATATTGCCTTGATGATTGAAGAATTAGCTTTGACCAAAAAGACTGACGAAATAAGCATGAATGAGTACCTAACGAGGAAACAAAATTTAATTTTGAAGTTGAAGAATGCTAATGTACCGTTTAGTGAAGGAGCACA